ATTTCTGATAATAATGTGTACATATGCTCATTTCTTTTTTTTTTTTTTTTTTTTTTTTTTTTTTTTTTTTTTTTTTTTTTTATACATGTTTTAATTTGTATGTAATTTATTTTAAGTAATAAGAATTTATATGTACATTTTAAATTTTTGCTGTAATACACATATTTATTATTAATTTTTTTTTTTTTTTTTAGTTGAAGGACCTGTTATAGGTATTGATTTAGGAACTACATATAGTTGTGTAGGTGTATTCAAAAATGGAAGAGTGGAAATATTAAATAATGAATTAGGTAATAGAATTACTCCATCATATGTATCATTTGTTGATGGAGAAAGAAAAGTGGGTGAAGCTGCTAAGTTGGAAGCTACTTTACACCCATCACAAACTGTCTTTGATGTAAAGAGATTAATAGGAAGAAAATTTGATGATCAAGAAGTAGTTAAAGATAGAGCTTTGTTACCTTATGAAATAATAAACAAAGAAGGAAAACCAAATATTAAAGTCAAAGTTAAGGATAAGGATACTACATTCGCTCCTGAACAAATTAGTGCTATGGTATTAGAAAAGATGAAAGAAATTGCTCAATCTTTCTTAGGTAAACCAGTAAAAAATGCTGTTGTTACAGTACCTGCTTATTTCAATGATGCTCAAAGACAAGCTACAAAAGATGCTGGTACAATTGCCGGTTTAAATATTGTTCGTATAATAAACGAACCAACAGCTGCCGCTTTAGCATATGGTTTAGATAAAAAAGAAGAGACAAGCATTTTAGTATATGATTTAGGTGGTGGTACTTTTGATGTTTCAATCCTTGTTATTGATAATGGTGTATTTGAAGTTTATGCTACAGCAGGAAATACTCATTTAGGAGGAGAAGATTTTGATCAGAGAGTTATGGATCACTTTATTAAGATTTTTAAAAAAAAAAACAATATTGATCTTAGAAATGATAAAAGAGCTATTCAGAAATTAAGAAAAGAAGTAGAAATAGCCAAAAGAAATTTATCTGTTACCCATTCAACTCAAATTGAAATTGAAGATATTGTAGAAGGATATAATTTTTCTGAAACTTTAACAAGAGCAAAATTTGAAGAATTAAATGATGATTTATTCAAAGAAACATTAGAACCAGTTAAAAAAGTTTTAGAAGATGCTAAATATGAAAAAAGCAAAATTGACGAAATAGTTTTAGTAGGTGGTTCAACACGTATTCCAAAAATTCAACAAATAATTAAAGAATTTTTTAATGGAAAAGAACCAAATAGAGGTATTAATCCTGATGAAGCTGTAGCATATGGTGCTGCTATACAAGCAGGTATAATTTTAGGTGAAGAATTGCAAGATGTTGTATTATTAGATGTTACTCCATTAACCTTAGGTATAGAAACTGTCGGTGGTGTTATGACACAGCTTATCAAAAGAAATACTGTTATACCAACTAAAAAATCTCAAACATTTTCTACATACCAAGATAATCAACCTGCTGTATTAATCCAAGTGTTTGAAGGAGAAAGAGCCTTAACAAAAGATAACCATCTTTTAGGAAAATTCGAATTATCTGGTATTCCTCCAGCTCAAAGAGGTGTACCTAAAATTGAAGTTACTTTTACTGTTGATAAAAATGGTATATTACATGTAGAAGCAGAAGACAAAGGAACAGGAAAGAGCAAAGGAATTACAATTACTAATGATAAAGGTAGATTGTCTAAAGAGCAAATAGAAAAGATGATTAATGATGCAGAGAAATTTGCAGATGAAGATAGGAATTTAAGAGAAAGAATTGAAGCTAAAAATAATTTGGATAATTATGTTCAAAGTATGAGAGCAACTGTTGAAGATAAAGACAAACTAGCAGACAAAATTGATAAAGAAGATAAGGATACAATTCTTAATGCTATAAAAGAAGCAGAGGATTGGTTAAATAACAATTCAGAAGCAGACACTGAGTCATTAAAACAAAAATTAAAAGATGTTGAGGCTATCTGCCAACCAATTATTGTAAAACTATATGGTCAACCTGGTGCAGGCACTCCCCCACCAAGTGAAGATGAAGATATTGAAAGTGATGAGTTATAAATATTTATATATTCTTTTTTTTTTTTCTCTATGCTAGGATATATAAAATATAATTATTTAAAGAAAATATATACTTCTGTGGTAAAA